GTCTCTGTCTGTCTGTCTCTGTCTCTCTGTCTGTCTCTCTGTCTGTCTGTCTGTCTCTCTGTCTGTCTCTCTCTCTGTCTCTCTCTCTGTCTGTGTCTCTGGTGTTCAATTGATTTCTTTCTCCCACTTTATTAAACTGGACAGTGAGAAACAGTCGATACTGAGGAGCTTTTCATTATCTGCAATCAACATATCAGTTACACACACACACACACACACATACACACACACACACACACACACACACACACACACTCACACACACACACACACACACACACACTCACACACACACACACACTCACACACACACTCACACACACACACACACACACACACACACACACACACACACACACACACACACACACACACACACCTTGGCTCTATTTACATTAATAGAAATCCAATCAGTGTAATTGGAAACTGTTTACACTCAGTGAGTGAGTCTGCCTCACCTGCTGACCTGTGTGTGTGTGTCTGTGTGTGTGTGTCTGTGTGTGTGTGTGTGTGATCTTTGTCATCAGCACAGTTATATGTAAAACTCAGTGTGTTCTTGGAATAAAAGACATTTGAATAATATTTTGTTACTGACCTGTCAAGACCTTCATGTCTCTTCATTTACTGTCCAACAGCTACAGCAGCTGTGAAGCTGTGGTCAGAGTGAAGCTGTGGTCAGAGTGAAGCTGTGGTCAGAGTGAAGCTGTGGTCAGAGTGAAGCTGTGGTCAGAGTTCACCATGAGTGAACTCTGACCACAGCTTCAGCAGGAAGTACCAGCGTTACGTTAGTGACATCATTTCCTGTCTGTGTGTGTGTGCAGGCTAAGGACAGCGACGATGATGAGGAGGTGGTGCAGGTCGACAGGGACCATTTCATGGATGAGTTCTTCGAACAGGTGAGACACTACAACAACTCACACATAGGTGTACCTGAGGTCACAGGGGTCACGGAGGTCATGGAGGTCATGTCTCCAGTATTTCCTCTGGAAATGTTAATAACCTCAGGATTCAGAAATGTAATATCTAACATGTGTGTCCCATTAAGGTGATTTATTATTATCACATATATGCATTTTCTCATATATAAAGAGATAAGTTTATAACATATATGAAATACCTACAGTGAAATTTGTAAATCTAAATTAAAATATCTATAATGGGTTAATATATGTTGTGACCATATATCTTTACAATATATGTTTATTTTGTTTATGGATCATATACAGATTCTATATGTTTATATATGTTTTTCTTATTCATTTATATAATATATATATAATATATACACACACACACACACATATATATATATATATATATACACACTGTTGCTCATAGAGCTCGTATAAAATATTTTTTACCTCTTTCCATGAAATGATTGTGACAATGTGATTTATTTAATATCACCTGGGTAACTGGGACACATGATGTAATCACTGCACCTGGTTAAAGGTGAGTACTGATGCATTTAAATAGGAACAAACAGGATTGTGTCTGAAAACAAAATGATTCCAACTTTATGGGTAACACCCACATGTATGTACATACATGATGAGGAGGTGGGGCACGTATATATATACATACATGTAGGTGTTATCTGATCTAAGACGTGTGTGTGTGAGTGTGTGTGTGTGTGTGTGTGTGTGTGTGTGTGTGTGTGTGAGTGTGTGTGTGTGTGTGTGTGTGTGTGTGTGTGGTTTAGTCGGTTTGTCTCTTTCATGTGCAGTAAAACTAATTTATTATTTTCATTTCATTATAAATGTATAAATAGATTTTATTTGATAAGATATTAAATGTTATTTGTTGTTCAGTTTCCTCTGAGGTCACAGCTGCTGCATCAACTCGTCTTTCTCATATTTATTCAATTATTAACGTTTGAAGGAGAAAAGACAAATTCACTGAAGCTCTCGTCCTCAGATTGATTTTAATAAAAACAGATGATTCACTGAGGAAAGAAAATCCATTTTTCATGTAAAATTCATGTAAAAGATTCTTAGTAATTTGAGCGAGATTCTGACTTTTGTTTTTAAAAAAATAAAACTATTTTTTAAGCAGAAGATCTTCGTTCGTCCAGAAACGGCTTCAAAACAAGAGAAGATGAAGCAGACGTTCAGTTTTATTTGTTCTGGAGACATGAAAAGAATTCATCTGATGTGATTGATGTGATTGATGATGATGGATGATGATGACATCACTGTAACATGTGTTTTGTGTGTTCAGGTGGAGGAAGATCAGAGGCTGCAATAGAAAAGCTGTCAAGAGGATGTGGAGCAGGTCAAGAAGCAGCACAGCTGCCATCCTGGCGCACCCAACCCTGACGAAAGTAAGACTCTCAACCTCACACACACACACAACACACACACACAACACATTGCATCATCACTGAATTAACCCCACAACAACAACAACAACAACAGCTGATCTGTAGATGGTCTTCTATCAGCTGTGATGAAGATGTGTCAGCTGTGATCACATGACTAAAGTGTGTTTCACAGAGACCGTCTCACACTGGTCTGAGGTGTTAGCGCTAATCCAAATATGGTCAAAAGAGGAGGGGCGTGGGTGGAGCTGAGACTTCTGTGGCATGATGGTTTCGTGACAAACATACACTCACCCAACCTGTCACTCAAAGAGGGACTGCCCTAAATCCTCCATAACTGTTAGTCCTTATAAGATTGTAAACAGGTGTGAGTTATATAAACAGGTGATTTTTCACAGGTGTATTAAGGAGGAAATCAGCTCTAGAGACCCAAAACAGTTTTTTGTTCTGTCCGAGCTGGTTAAACATGTCGTGATTTTCTCTGCTGAAAGTTGGACGA